TTACTCTCCATTTCGATTTTCTTCTCATTCCTTGAAAGTTGAAATCATAGAGGAACAAGATTTTTAATGATAATTCTTCTGTGTATTTCCTTACTCTTTTGAAATTCGAATTCTGAATTGATTTCAAATTTTGGATTTCAATTTTAAATTTCAAATTGTAATGTTGGGAAAAGATTTGAAAATAAAAAATTAAATAAATAATAATTTCTTTTAAAAATTGAAATAAAAATCAATGAAAATTAAGTTAATCATTTATAGTGGCAGACAACTCATTCAATGTCCCACTGATTTGTACAGTGAAATTACTCAGCTTTTTTAAATGCTTTCTGCATTGGAATTGCTCACTCTTTTGAAATTCGAATTCTGAATTGATTTCAAAATTTGAATTTCAACTCTTCTAAATTTTGAATTTATGTTTAAATTTGAATTTTGGATTTGAATTTTTAACTTTGTAATGATGGAAAAACTTTTAGAAAATTTTGTGTGGCACACAACTCATTTAATGTCCCACTACTTTTCTTTTGATGTATATTATGAGTAAAAAGATCTCTACTTTTCTTTTGTTGTATATCCCACTATTTTTTGCATGGATAATTGTTAGCCTTGTTAAAGCTGCATAAAAAAACAAAAACATTAAAAAAAATTGTAAAATAAATAAATTATTTATATTGTAAAATAAATTCAAAATTTGGAAATAAATAAAATGAAAAATATGTGAACTTGACATGTGGGAAAAGAGTTCAACATTTAATATTTATGCAGTGAAAAAAGATATATATAATAAATTTGAATTTAATATAAAATTATAGATTAAACAATAAAATATTTAAAATTATAAAAATACATTTATAGTCGATAAAAATTATTTAAAATTTCAAATTTAAAAGAAAAAATAAGAAATGGCATAATTTATACTTTACTAAAAAGAAATTAAAATTTTAACATAAAATGTTTAAATATACATGTATAACCAATTAAAATAATATACATGTATTTTTAAAAAAAATATTTAACATAAATTTTTAATTTACATGCATAACCAATTAAAAATATATATAAAAATCGTAAATTAAAATAGAAAAAAATTATATAAAAAATATGTATAATTAATATAAAAAGTTTTAAATTTTAAATTTAAATATAAAATGACGTCTGTCATTCTGTAAAAAAAATTATTAAAATTTAAGAACTATAAAAATGAATATTTTAATTTAGTACATAAGAAAGAAATTAAACTTACATTTTTTTATTGGAAGAGTGTAATTAACACAAATACTTGAAAAAAATAATTATTTATATAAAATGCTGAAAGTTAGAGGTGAAAAACTGGAGGGCCGGCCCACCAATATATGTTTATAATTCAATTGAAATTTTATTTTTCTTCTTTTATAATTAAATTACTAAATCTGATTTCAATTTTTGTAAATACAAATTTGAGAAATTCCAAAGACTAACGACACTAATCCTTGCAAAAAAAATATATTTATATAAAATGCTGACAGTTAGAGGTGAAAAACTGGGCTCGGCCCAGAGGGCCGGCCCGCTAATATATTTTTATAATTCAACTGCAATTTTTTCCTTCTTCTTTTATAATTAAATTACTAAATCTGATTTCAATTTTTGTAAATACAAATTTGTGAAATTTCAAAGACTAACAACACTAATCCTTGCAAAAAAAAAATTATTTATATAAAATGCTGACAATTAGAGGTGGAAAACTGGGCTCGGCCCGGAGGGCCGGCCCGCTAATATATTTTTATAATTCAACTAAAATTTTATCCTTCTTCTTTTATAATTAAATTACTAAATCTGATTTCAATTTTTGTAAATATAAATTTGTGAAATTTCAAAGACTAACGACACAAATTCTTGCAAAAAAAATAATTATTTATTATTATTTTATAAATCTGATTGAAGTAAATGAAAGTTCATCTCTGAGATAAAATATAAAAACCTAGACGCAACTATAAAAATATTTTTTTATGGATAAATATAAAAACCTTTTACATTCTGATAGTTAGAGGTGGCAAACTGGACTCGGCCCGGAGGGCCGACCCACAAACACATTTTTATAATTAAGTTAAAATTTCATCCTTCTTCTTTTATAATTAAATTCCTAAATCTGATTTTTATTTTTGTAAATACAAATTTGTAAAATTTCAAATACTAACGACACAAATCCTTGCAAATAATAATAATTTATTATTATTTTTAAATGTGCAATAAATGAAAGTCTATCTCAAAGATTAGTGTAGTTGCTTTTATTTTGTTCATATGATTTTGTTGCAATGTAAGCAAAAAATATGACTTATACATGCTTATTTGATTAAGTTGCATTCAAATCCCGTTCAGACAACATTTTTTTTGGTCCTTAAAAAATTTTAATCAAATCTTTTTTTTTTTTTCTGATACTATGACTTTTGGGTGTTAACATATTAGTGTTACTTATTTAATGAGTTTTTGCCTTATGTATCGTAGGCACACGGAACGAAAATCACACAAGAAATGACATATTTAGTAAGTGTTGAACTCATCCCTCCAATGATTGCTAAGAAATGACACTGAATGAATAGCGTTTTCATATTATAGGTAAAAGCTGATATTTTAAATTCATATTTGCTTGGTGTTATTGTTACCTTGATTTTGTTGATGAATGTTATAGTTAGCAATGATTTGTATGCATTTTTCTTTTTATATCCCTTTCTCATGTTAACATGGTGTATTATTACGTATTATGGTTTATTATGATGTAGTTGTATGCAAAATTAATTATCCCTCTGAATAACAGATTTTTGTTTATGGTTGATATTTGCAAAGCTCTGTGTCAATGTTGTAATTTTTTCACCTGAAATATAGAACAAAATAACAACAAAGTTTTTTGTAAATATAAGGTTTGCAGTGCAATTAACCAACCACGGCGGACGACAAAATTTTTGATCTTTTTTTCCCGTGCATCGCACGGGTAATATACTAGTTTTTTTTTTTTTTTGAATGACAACATCATTCCAATATTTCTTGTTGCATGATATAAACTCTTGTAAGAGTCAAATCATAATAACAACTAGGATTAGCCTAGTGGTGTGGGGTGTGTGTGTTAGGAGTGTGTGTATAGTGTAGGGTGTTGTCTAGGAAGCACCGACACTTCAATAACTTTGGCGTGTCGTGTCCGACACTTCCCGACACTCTCCGACACTCCGAGACACTTCAACACGCGTTATAGAAATTCAAAAAACGTTCAAAGGTTGCGTTGCGTTAAGTTTTTAGTTCCAACTATTAGATTCGTTTGATTACGATTACCATTTTATTGAGTTTAATATAAATATATGGAATATCTTATGTTTCTTTGCAAAATTGATGAATATTAGAAGTTTAGTTTTATTTTTTATTAAATTATTGAATATTAAATATAATATACACTACATAAATTAAAAATATTATTTAATATCAAAACGTGTCCTAAAGTGTCGAAATCTAATATTTTTTAGAATTAACGTGTTGGAGTGTCGTGTCGTATCGTGTCACGTGTCCCGTGTCGGTGTCGGTGCTACATAGGGTGTTGTGTTCAATTCCTTGTAACCTCCAACAAAAAAAGAGAGTCAAATCATAAATTAATTCATGAAACATAATATCCCAAAAAAATATCAGAGCAACCATATTAGTTTTACAAATAAGTCATTGTAATCTATATATATATATAGGAGAGTTCACTGCTGGAAAGTTTTGCCAAGTGTCACTCCCTGGTTAATTCTACAATTTGGTTATATACAAACTTTCTTTATTGGGTAAATTGAAAAAAAAAACTCTTTTAAAAATTGAATTTAAAATTTTTAAATCGAATAATAGTTGCAGACAAGGCATTGAATGTCCCACTGCCCATCACATTGGTATCCAAAAAAATCAGCTGTTTTAATTGCTTTTTATGTTGGAATTGGTCATCTCATCTGAAATTCGAAATTTTAAATGGTTTATCAATTAAATTTCGAAATTATGTATTTATTTTGCACAATCTGAAATTTGAAATTTTAAATTCAATAAAAAGAAAACTCTTTTCACGGACATGCATTCACGATCTCTATTCATGGAGATCAATAGAAACAAAAACAAATTTCACAATTGTTGAAGACCTGATCGTCATTCAATTCACAATTTCGTTATGGTTTTGATTAAAAAAAAATATATACAATAATGATATAACAAAGACATTATCTTTGTAATATAGACATTATCTTTGTTATATATTTGATTGAAATATCATAACAATCAAGAATCAAGAGAGCTGACAAACAAAATAAATTAGATAATCAGGTGTTTTAATTCTTTTTATGTTGGAATTGGTCGTCTGATTTGAAATTCGAAATTTGAAATGGTTTAAAATTTTGAATTTAAATATGGATGGTGGGAAAAGAATTTCTTTTAAAAATTGAATTTTAATTTTGTAATTGAATAATTAAATGACCGTTTGTGGTGGCAGACATAAAAGAATAACTAATTAATAAATATGGTTTTGAAATTCGAAATTTTAATTGGATAATCAAGTGTTTTAATTGCTTTTTATGTTGGAATTGGTCGTCTGATCTGAAATTCGAAATTTGAAATGGTTTAAAATTTTGAATTTAAATATGGATGGTGGGAAAAGAAATTCTTTTAAAAATAGAATTTTAATCTTTAAATCGAATAATTAAATGACCATTTGTGGTGGCAGACAAGACATTGAATGTTCCACTGCCCATCACATTGGTATCCAAAAATAAATCAGCTGATTTAATTGCTTTTTATGTTGAATGCGTCATATGATCTAAAATTTGAAATTTGAAATGGTTTAAAATTTTGAATTTAAATATGGATGGTGGGAAAAAAAATTTCTTTTAAAAATCTAATTTTAATTTTTAAATCGAATAGTGCATATTCGTGTATAAATAGGTATTTGGAAGCGTCTCTATTTCGTTCTTTTCTTTGTCCTCAAAGACTTTGAGCCAATATTACCTAATATACGTTTGGTTATGTATTCCAAGTATGATTTTATTAAGGATCTTAATCCTTCTAAGGAGGAATGGAGGATTAAGGCTAGAGTTGTTAGAACATGGAAGGTTCCTAATTTTCAGCAAAAAAATTTGGACGACAACGTAGAGATGATTCTGTTAGATGAAAATGTATTTGTTTTTTTTTTTTTTTTTATATTACTGTTGGTTTGTGGTCCATGTTTTTAAAATGTACTAATCTATGCATGTGTTTTGTAGGGTGGAAGGGTCCACGCTGCTATCAAGGGTTCTTTAAATATCCGTAACAAAATTCACGAAGGAGAAGTTTATTTCATAAAAATTTTTGGAGTTGGTTTGAATAGTGGGGGTTTCAGGCCAACTAAGCATGATTATCGTTTGTCCTTCAACTTGAGGACTGATGTAAAATCCACTATTGATTCTGCTATTCCCACCAATGGATTTGATTTTGTAGATTTTGACGTTATAGAGAAAGAGTCTTCTGATTCCCCTTATTTAGTAGGTTTGTAGATTTTGAACTGTCCACTAAGTCATGCTTTTGTTGTTTGTGTGACAATATCATCTGTCTAACCATCCTTAATGTGTAGATGTCATCGGTTTAGTTTCTGGAATGGGGGAATTTTGTGAGCATATTATCTCCGGTAGGAAGACAAAAATGGTTGTCGTGGAGCTTGATAACCTCAGGTATCTATTGGTTATTTGTTATGTGTTATGTTCATTTGATGTAAAATTCTATTTTGTGATTTGTTGCAAAAACTGTGCAAGTAGGGGTCACAAGCTCGAGTGAACTCTCTGGGAGGACTACGTGGACCAGGTGCAACAAATTTTGGGGAGTAATCAATCTCCTCCAAACGTGATGATAGTTCAGCTTGCTAGAATAAAGGGTTTCAGGGGTGAGTTCACATAAATATTTGATTATGATTTCATAATGGAATGTCTTAGTTTATTTCCCTCCTTATGGTTTTGAAATTAATAATAAATTTTAAAGAAAAAATTGGAATAACAAATACAAAGTATACGACGAGGATAATTATCGGTCCCAGTGTACCAGAGATTGTCGACCTCAAAAAAAGGTGAGAGCTGTTGTTATTCCATTATTCTGCTCTTTTCTTTATTATTTATAGCTGATTATTTGTAATGTTGTTTTTTTTTAGGCTTTCGTCTGATGTCATTGATAGCGGTTACACGTTGTCTCAGTTATCAAGTCAGTCCTTATATTCTTTTGAGAATGATTTCCTGAAAGAGACGGAAAGGAAGTGTATCAGTGATTTTAAGAATTGCAGTGAGGTTACTACTTGCATTACTTATGGAACCATAAAATCGATTGAGAGCAAATATAAATGGTGGTACAAGTCCTGTAATAAATGTCCATATTCTGTTTATGAAGATTTCAAGAAATGGTATTGTAAAAACTGCCAAAAACATTTTGATGATTATTATCCAAAGTAAGTATTTATATCTATTTTTGTTGTTGTTGTTATTAGATCGTTCATTTTATTTATAAATAACACAATCGGTGGTCATGTGTTGCAGATTTTGTGTGCAGTTGAGAGTTGTGGATCACACTGATTCTGCATCTTTCATTCTGTTTGATAAAGACTGTGTTGCTTTGTTGGGCATGAGTACTGCAGATTTACGTGAGCAGCATTTCAAAAGGGTTTGTGTTCTTATTCCACTCATTTTTTTATTCATTTAAAGTTCTTATTAAAATTTCATTAGTATTTTTTTTGCAGGGTGATGATTTCGAGCACTATCCTAAGGAACTTAATGTTCTTATTGATAAATCCATGTTGTTTAAAGTTGTAAAGAACCAATTCAACCCAAAAGCTTAAGCTGTTGGGTGAGGTTAAATTAATGGTTTTATATATCTCAACACGCCCCCTCACACGAGAGCCCACTGGGCTTGAAGAGTGGACAATGCATAGGCCAACCTACCTATATAAAGAAAGAAATTCCACTAGAGAGAAAGTGGGAGGCGGCGAGGATCGAACCCGGTACACCGAGGCTCTGATACAATGTAAAGAACCAATTCAACCCAAAAGCTTAAGCTGTTGGGTGAGGTTAAATTAATGGTTTTATATATCTCAACAAAAGTGAATGTGAAAAAAAATAATTTGGACTCATACAGTGAGGCGAAAAAGCATACTGGCTGAAAAGAAGAATTCTAGGCGTTTTATTAATGTAGACAATATAACTCGAATGGAAGACTTAACAGGTAATTTGTCATGTGCTGCTTATTGTTCATTCATTATTTTACTTGGATAATCAGGTGTTTTAATTGCTTTTTATGTTGTAATTGGTCGTCTGATCTAAAATTCGAAATTTGAAATGGTTTAAAATTTTGAATTTAAATATGGATGGTGGGAAAAGAATATTAGCTGAAGGCAAATCTATTATCGAAAAAGAAAATATAGTAGAAGATATCTTTTTTTCGGTACATAGAAGATACTTTTAATTTTACTATAGTGATAACCTTTTTTTATCTAAAATAAAATAATGAAACTTTATTTTAAAAGCTTGTGTTTCCTTCTATTTTTTCCCACCCATTGTTAAGGGGTGATTGACTCCACAACATAAACCTCACATTCTACGTTGTTATTAAGACGTGTAAAATAATCGAACCAAATCAAATTGAATCGAATGGAATGGAAACACATTTTTCTCAACTAATTTTAAGAATTGAACTGATTTTATAAATAAATTTAAAAATTAAATTGAATCAACTAAATACTCAAATGAATTTTGATCTGGTTCTGAAGTATGAACCGCTTCTGAAATATAAATAGCTTCTAAACCGTTTTTGAACTTATTTTGAACCGATTTTGTGAGAAAATAAAAATAATTAAGGGTCTATTTGAATTGACTTATAAAAAAAAAATTATGCCTTTTAATTTTAGAAATATTTTTTACAAAAAAAAATAGATTTTAAAAAAATATTTGATTTTTGAATTCTGCTTTTTTTTAAAATTAAATTTTTTTGCTTTTTAGAAAATAGATTTTTGGTTTTTTATGTAGCTGTAGTTTACAAAAAATATATAAAAATTATTACAAAAAGAAATCAGCTGTTTTAATTGATTTTTTTGTTGGAATTTGTCATCTTATCTAAGATTTTATGCTTATTGTTCATTCATTTTATGCGTGGTATATTAATTACTCAACTTTTGAAATTTCAAAAATAGGAATAGATGTCAACGATGCTGTGTCCATACATTCAACTCTTACTACGTTATCTAATTCTGACTCCATGACAAGGTATGATCAGAATTAATTTTTTTTATTAGTAACTGTATACTGTTACTACTTTTGTGAAACCATATAACTGAATTAACACTGTTTCAATTTTCTATTGTTGTAAAAGATACAATATTCTACTCCAGGTGATTCCTATGGAAGTAGTGCTTCAACTCATGCCCTCCAACAAAGTGAGATAAAAAAAAACGTTATTCATTATGTATTTACAACAAAACCATATTAATATGAGCACGCACGACATACTATCACATTTTTTGTGTGGTTTTTTATTATGAAATTCCCTATAGTAATTAAATTCTACTTATAGCAAGAAAAAATATTCAAAATGTTCGTATTCAAAATATTCAAATTGTGTCAATTAAATTCATTTGGTTTGATAAAAAATAGCTCCGTAAGTATTTAATTTTATCGTTTGCTTCGTAATTCATTTGGTTCAAAAAATTGGCATCCTCATATTTTTTGATAGATACCAAAAATGCTAGAATGAGGCGAAAAAACATACTGGCTGAAAAGAAGGATTCTAGGTGTTTTATTAATATAGACAATATAACTCGAATGGAAGACTTAACAGGTAATTTTTCATATGTTACTTATTGTTCATTCATTTTATGCGTGGTATATTAATTACTCAACTTTTGAAATTTCAAAAATAGGAATAGATGTTAATGATGTTGTGTCCATACATTCAACTCTTACTACGATATCTAATTCTGACTCCATGACAAGGTATGATCAGAATGAATTTTTTTTATTAGTAACTGTATACTGTTACTACTTTTGTGAAACCATATAACTGAATTAACACTGTTTCAATTTTCTGTTGTTGTAAAGTATACAATATTCTACTCCAGGTGATACCTATGGAAGTAGTGCTGCAACACATGCCCTCAAACAAAGTGAGATAAAAAAAAACGTTATTCATTATGTATTTACAACAGAACCATATTAATATGAGCATGCACGACATACTATCACAATTTTTTGTGGTTTTTTTATTACGAAATTCCCTATAGTAATTAAATTCTACTTATAGCAAGAAAAAAGATTCAAAATGTTCGTATTGAAATGATTTCTGATATCTTCGTGTCATTTTTTCTTTATGCTACAGGTACTTATATGAATAATTCCATTGTGCCTAACATTACTTCTAACAGTGAAGGTATTTGCATCAATTTAAATTTTGTTCATTTTTTCTTTCGAACCTAATTTATGCATCTATCGTGATTTCTCCGTGTTTGTATTTATTAAGATTATTGGGATGCGGGGGATCCTACTTTTGTTTGCGAGAAATGCGGAGCACATTTGTGGTACGAGGAGAGAAATAAAAAAAATCATAAACCCAGCACACTAGAGTTTGGTTTGTGCTGCGTAAATGGAAAAGTAAAACTTCCTTTATTGAAAGTTCATCCTAATGCTTTGCTTAATTTGCATGATAATTCAAATATCAAGAGCCGCCACTATTTACGAAATATTCGAGCATACAATATGATATTTTCCTTCACCTCCTTTGGAGCAAAAGTGGACGGATCAATGAATCAAGCTTTTGGCCCTTATTGTTTTAGAGTTGGGGGACGAGTGCATCATTTAATAGGCAGCCTTATTCCAGCTGACAGTCATACTCCAAAATTTGCTCAGCTATATATATACGATACTGACAATGAAGTTGACAACAGATTGGGTTGTTTAAGGCACATTATTTTCTATTGGTGTGGATTTTGTGAAACTTTTTAGTTAGAAATATAAATAGTATACATCTCTTACAATCTCTCCCTAACCCATATAATTTCTTGAGATTTCTCTATTGCAGTATTTTCTTCTTCCTTTGATGGGTTGACCAGCTCAAAAAATAGGTTCCGCCATGGGAGCTTCGTCAAAGCTCAAAAACAGTAGATTTTTTAGCGATTTTCATCACAAAATAATCCAGAAAAAATAAACCAACAAGGAATTTTAAAAAATAGGTTCCGCCATGGGAGCTTCGTCATAGCTCAAAAACAACATATTTTTTAGAGCTTTTGGAAGTTTAAAAAATAATTTTTCAACCTATGAGTCGTGATTTTTCTTGGCACAAAAAGGAATAATCTTTGTATTAAAAATAACATAAAACCCTCAAACCAATTTTCATTTTACATCAAAGAAACAAGATCAATTTAAAGAAAGATTGAATTTTTCATAATATAAACCCTAGATTTCGTAACAATACATTATTAACGAAATTCCTTCACTATAGGAAACAATTTCAAACAATTTTTGTATCAATAAATAACAAAAAATTTATTTTTCAAAAGCCCCAAAACAATTTAGGTTTTGTTTGGGAGTTGATTTTTGTAGGAGAAGGGGAGGATTTTATTAATTCCTTCACTTGTTTGTGGTTTAAAAAACTGGAGGAAGGGAATTGGGGATTTTTGCAAAATCCTCTAAAACCCTTCCCACCCTTAATATTAAAGTTTCCCCAATTTGGGGGGTTTAAGTGGGAAATAATAAAAATTACTTATCTAACCTTAACATTAAAATGTGAAAACTACATGTATATGAATCAATTTTAAACGTGACATTATTAGAAAAGTCTCAAATACTGACAGAATTTATCGACGAAAAATATTTCGTCGAACATAGTGACTAAATATTTGACGAAAAATCACATTATGTTGAAAATAGAGACGAAACAAGATTTGGTCATAATCACTGACATAAAAAATTTTCGAAAAAAATTCAGTCAAAATTCTTGATAAAATCTAAATTCCATTGAAACTTTCAACAATAATATTTCCGACAAACTTTTCAAGGAAAAATATTTCCATCGAAAACTTTCGACAGAAAACTATTTCGTAAAAATTTTTGTTGGAAAATATTTTCGTCAAATTTTTAACGGAAAATATTTCCATCAAAATTTTCAAAGGAACACATTTTTAGCAAAAAATTTTGACGAAAAATATTTTCGTAAAAATTCGTGATGAAAAATACTTTTGTAAAAAATTCTGACAGAAAATTTTGTGTCAAAATTCTTTACCAAATCTAAATTTTGTCAAAATATTTGACAAAAAAACATATTCGTCGAACTTTTTGACGAAGAATACTTCCCTCAAAAATTTTAACGAAACACATTTTCATTAAAAATTTTCGTAAAAAGTTTTGACGAAAAAATTTATGTAAAATTTTTTGACAAAAAAAATCGTCAAAATTATTTACAAAATCTAAATTTCATCAAAAGTTTTCGACGAAAATATTTTCATCGTACTTTTTTACGGAAAACATTTATGTCAAAATTTTCGACGAAACACATTTCCATCGAAAATTTTCGACAAAAAACTTTCTCTCAAAATTTTCAACGGAACATATTTTCGTCAAAAAATTTCGACGCAAAATATTTTTGTAAAAAAATTCAACGAAAAACTTTTTTGTAAAAAATTTCGACAAAAACAAATATTCTGACAAAATTCTTTACGAAATCTAAATTTCGTCGAAAGTCTCACAGAAGCATTTCCCTAAAAAATTTGACAAAAATTTTTCGTCGAAATTTCGTTTAGACACATTTTCATCAAAAATTTTGTATGGAAAATATCTCGTCAAATTTTTTGACAGAATTCTTTTTTCCGTCAAAACTTTTGATGGAATTTTTGACGTCAAAAATATTTAACAAATCATTTTTGTTTCGTCGTAAATTTTGATGGAAAATTTATTTTTTTTTTAAAATTTCATCCGATAAAACTTTCGTCGCCTTTCGATGACCAGTATTCTGACGGAGAATTATTTTTTTGACAAAATATTTATAGTTTGCAACGTAGAATTTTCGTCGAAAATATGATATTTTTTAGTAGTTCAAAAAATACACAAGTAATTTTGTTTAAAAATTTTAAATTGTATTTTATTTGTAAAATGTAGTAATTATATTAATTTTTAAAAAAAGGGTAAAATTTTAAAAATATCTCATTGACTCTCCTTTACCATTTTTTTAAGTCCCAAATAAGGGAAGGGAATACCCTTCAATTACCTTTCCTTCCCCTCCAAACTCCCAAACAAAGCCTGAAT